TCGCCCGCATGCAACAGGTGCGTGTGCGTACAGGTGTGTGTGTGAATGTATGCGTGGCCATGAAAACAAACGACAAACGCCTCTCAACAACAGCAACAGTTCAGGCATAAGAACATTGAACTAAGTTGTTCGCAGCACACGCAACTGCCGAGTCCTGTACGGAGCACCTACAGAACATTATTACTTTGAGCGAGCGATTCCCTTGAGCTAAGGATGTCCAATATATATACATATACGTACATCGTTGACATGGTAAAGCTAGCATATTAAGAAAACAACATGCACTCTCAGTTAATTGGAGTTGTTTAAAGTAAGGACCCAAGTCTAAAGTGCTGCTTCTGATCCCTGCTCGTAAAATAATTTTAAGTCAAAGGATTTAAAGCAGGATTAACATTTCTTTTCATTTTGATATTACACTTTACATTATCATATCTGCTAGATACTTAACAGAATGTCCCTGCTCGGGCGCCATTTACAAGTCTGTTAAATCTTAACAGCATGCTTGACGGAACTGCACTTTGACAGCCTTTAAACCTGTGTATTTCCCGAATATGCTACTATATGTTACTCAAGCCAAGTTTAGCAATCGATCCATTTCTAAATCGACTTCTTATAGATACTTAATCTGTTAATCAAGCTGTCCCGTTTAAGAAAAGAAATGGTCCCTGCTCGGGCGCCAATTGAAAGTTTGTTTAATCTTAACAGCTTGCACTTATGTTAACCAAACTGTACAGACTGTTAAGCTGCGTATAACATGCATATGCTAGTATATATAAGTTATAAAAATCAGTCTTTTTCTAATGCTACAACTATTAATAGATACTAAATCATTTAGTCAGCTTGTCCCATTTAAGCAAAGAAATTATCCCCGCCCGGGCGCCAACTTCATGAGTTAGCTTCTATGCAAAACTTGTCTGGCTCTTAAGAGCTTGACACCTTAGCCTTAGTCAAGCTTTTCATTTTCGTTTGACTTGCTGTGCCTTGTTTCTCCATTTAGTCGAAGGACAGCAGATGACAGGTGTCACAGGCTCAGTTCATGCCTCACGGCAAACACGCTGTTTGTCTGCAGCACGTCATTTGGCATGAGAAGACCACACGATATCGTGCGGCACTTATCGGCTTTTGTCAGGTTTATCTCAATGATAAAAAAAAAAAACACCCCCCACGCACTTTGTATGCGTGTGTGTGTGTGTTGCTGATAGCTTTGAGTTGCTGGGAATCGGGCCCAGCTGTCAGCATATATATGAGTGTGCATCGATGTGGATGTGGTGGCAGCTGCCGCTTCAATGGGCCGTTTCCCCCCCTTCCCCCTCTCTGCTAGGTGCGCTGATTAACCAATATGTGGCCAAATATTTGAGTTGGCATCAAATTTATGTTAATAGACCGCCAGAATTTTGTTTCTGTTGTCGACTTTTGTTTTAGATAAAAAATGCCCAAAAAAAATAAAGTTCCATAACAAGCCGAAAACGCACCATGTGGCACCATAAAAGCCCCAATTGTGTGCCAAAGGCAAGGCCGAAAACCTCCCTGAGAGCCCCCCCCCCTCACACACACACACGTACACACATGCAGCTTCTGTCGAGGCCAATCAAGGCTAGTCAGCGGACATTGTCGGGCAATTAGAGGCGGGCCCGGGCCGCCCCCTTTATCTAGTTGGCGACCCTGCTGTTGTTGCTGGGCCTGTGGCATGATTTGAATGCAAACAAGACCTCATCTGCAACAGCTTTATGCACGAGCGAGTGGCTTCAGCTGCCGGGCCAGGTTCCCAGTTCTATTGTATCCCTTTTGCTGGCGATGCATCGCTGGTTTCTCGTTTATGTGGATTTTCGGAACGTGGCAAATCAAGCGTGAAGTCACAATGACAATGCCTCGAGAATATAAACCTTTTTCGCCTGCTTGCGCTTATCGTGCAGGTCCCAAGTTTTGGGCCAAGTTTAAAGGGTTCACTTTGTATTGTATAAAGTATACGCCGCGTGGGCCAAGCATGAACTTTTTCTGCATTATTTACCCACTTGGCCTTTGTGTATTGTGTGTGAGTGTGTGTGCGTGTGTGTCCCGAGCTGCTGCTTATGCTGAGCAGCTTTACAGTGGCTTCTTGGCCGCCCCCAAGTGCTGCCAGCTGGCGGAAAGTCAGCGCAAATAAACGCGCACTTTTAATTATTTACGTTTTAATCATTCAAAAAAGTTAATTACTGCAAAAAGTTGCAAGAAACAGAAAACAAGAAAGGCAGGTCCTTGACTTTGCCTTGTGTCCCCAAGAAGTTCAGCCAAAGGTGGCCCAGGGAAAGGGACATATCTTCAAGGAGTCTTCTGTGTCTGTTGATAAGACAGTTGTGCAGCTGTGTATTACAGATGGAAGGGCCATCTTCAACCTCATAATGTATGTATATATATAGACAAAATCGATAAATATCGATGCGTTGCCGCAGCTTTCAGAGCATTGCAGGCGGACTATACGAGATGTCAGCATAGAGAGCGTAGAGGTATACCCCATTATTTTTAGTCATATATGTACAATACATATTTAAGACTTAACAATTATTTAATGTTCAGAAAACCTAAAGAAATTCTATCTAAGAATGCAATTCTTATTCTACAGCAGCCCACCCAACTCTAGTATTTGTGTCAATCTCCGTTAAAAACTGAATATAAAACAAAATGTGTGCAGCCCTCGCTCGGGAAATGAACAGCTTCTGAAGCTGTCAGCTCGTTAAACTGTTTGCCCGCGACAGCTTTGGTTGACAGCGCCTTGCAGCAGGCCATGGTCATGCCCCAAATTGCACTCGGCAGAGGAACAAGCAGTGGATGGCCAGCGGCGCCTGGCGGTGTCCATGAGTCCTGGGGGGCCCAGCGACTTTGAAGCGTAATTCGATTAGGCAGGCACCAGGTCTGGTCCGCAGGCCAGATGCAGGCAGGGCGGGACAGAGACGGAGGGCGATGGCAACATGGATACATTGCCGGCAGCTTATGATGCATATCTAAGTAGTGCGAGCCTAAACAGATTACAGATATGTTTTGATTGCTGATGCTCAAGACTTGAAGGCATCAGCATCAACATGCCCCGGCGCCATTGTGCTTGTGTATTAAATCCCTCCAGGGTATACTAATAAATTCAATTTGGTTGTATTTCAGTTTTAGGCCTGGGTAATTGGCTTAAAGCTGGCCAAGAAATGGATTTCATCTCAGCCACTTTCGGCCTGCAAATGGCAATTAGTGCCAATTAAGCTGCAGGACTTAGAGAAGTGCTCGGAACTACGGAACTTCTCGGCACAAGATTAGTTTGCACCGCAAAGCTGCATCAAGTTGTTTGCTTCGCTCTGGTTGCAATTGATGCATTCCAGATCAACGCGCCCTCGATAAAAAGCCAATTTCTTAGCTTCTCTTCTTTTTTGTATTTATTTACATCATTAATTGTGAAATGTTTAGAGCAACGAGAAAGTTCCGTTCTCTCGAGGCACGGCGGTGATGCAAGCAAAAATAACACTAGAGCAAAGGAAAGCAAAACATATCCAAAGAAAAATGTATTTTTAGCAGGAAAAAATAAAGAAAACCTACATGATTAAACAACAGACACACTCAAAGCACTCGCAACCAACCACATGAAAGCACACACACTCACACTCACACACACACACACACACTCACACTCACATCAGATGGTGTGCTTGTGTATTGAGTTCTCAAGTGCTTAGACTACAGCGTGGAAGCTCGATTAGCAAATCAAAAGTGTTGGTCTACCTAGTAAAAGCCCAATATGAAATGATTATTTACTGGAAGAGCAAGAATTTAAATGTTTAGAGTGAAGGCATTTATAATATAAGGAGAAAAATAAAGAAATAAATTCTGTTAGGGAATTTAGAATGGAATATTGAACATACAATTGAGATTTAACTCAATATAAATCTATTGCAATCAAGAGTTTGACTTTCAATTTTAAGTCGAACCAACAAGCTATCGTTAGCCGGTTAAAATCGCATTAAAATCTATGCAGTTTATGTATGGTTTTATTTTGTCTTCAAATCGAACCAGCCAGCTGTATTTTAGAGGTTCAAATCCCAATAAAATCAATGCATGTTATGAATGGATTTATTTTGTCTACACGTCGAACCAACAACTGTATTTCAGCGGTTCAAATATCATTCAAATCTATGCAATTTAAGCCTCTATTAATTTTGATTTCAAGTCGAACCAACATGCTGTAGTTCGGCGGTTCGAATCCCCTTAAAATCTATGCAATTTATGTATGAATTTGTTTATTCAAGTTGAATTATTTCATGAGATTCCAACCCAGGATGCTCAATTATGGTTATTAAATATTATCATTATTATTGTTGATCAACATTCAAATTAACCTAAATATTTCGCTCTTCAATATTATTTTTAGCTATATAAGATCATTCAAGCCCCAAGGAACATGAGACTCCTATCTGTTGTGCCTCGCATTAATGTCAACAGATATTAATGGCAAGTCCATTAATTTTATATATTTTAATACCTATTTATTTTATTGATATGCATGTTGCATAAGCCGCAATGTTTTTTTTTTATTTGTGCATAATCGGTATCCAAATAATGCAGCTGCACCTCCCCCTCCCCCCACCCAACCGACGGATGTGTGATTTTCCACGCGCTGCTTCGGACTGTGACCCAGTTTTGTGGGACACATGAAAAGCGTGAAACGGGCTAAAAATAATATTCGAGTGGGGAAATAAAAGATAAAGCGATGCGCGTAAATCTATGTATAAAGCCAAAATAAAAAGTGAAATGAAAAATCACACAGCAAATTATGCTGCATGTTGTTACACATTTTACTTAGTTTTTCACTCGGCCAAATTTGCTTTGTCAGTGTTTCTTTCGTTTCAGTTTTGCTTTCATTCGGGTGGGTTTTATTTATAAAACACGGCCATGCGAATATATGAAAAATATTTTCATTTTGAATGTTATTTGGTTTCTTTCATTTTTCACATTCTTTGCTCGCTTTTCTATTTGTTTATTTGCAGTTAATGCGAATTATGCACTCGCAAGTGCAACCACCACAGCAGCAGCAGCAGCAGCAAGAGCACCAAATGCATAGTGCACCCTGTTCTTAAGTATACGAAACACAACCACAACAACAACAACAGCAACCACCACAAGAAGCACCACAGTCATAAGCCACAATCAGTCGCAAGTCCTCGCAAAATGGTGGACGACATTTCGCCGATGCATCATCGCATGCAGAAGAAGACGCGCAGCGCCTCGATCTGTGCCACGGGGGGCAGCATCGAGACGGTCATCCAGAATATGCCCTCGGGCAGTGCCACGCCCGAGGGCGGCACGCCCGGCTACAGACGTCGCCGGCCCGCCACCCGCTCCCAAAGCGCACGCATCACCTCGGGCGCCAGATCGGTGAGTAATCTATTTCAATTTGTCGGCCGGGCGCCTATTAATTAACCAGCTATTTAGTTTGCTTAGCTAATTGATTGCTTGCCACATTCACTTGTAGTTGAGCACATTTGTTAGAGCTTTTGCGATGTGCCCGTGAGTTAGCGATCGGCGTGTCACGACTTTTTATAGCACGCACCAGAAAACATAAATAAAATTATAAAAATAACAAGGAAGAGTGAAGAGTCGGCAGTTTCCGACCTGAACCCAACCTTAAGCTAGCTTCACAAGCATTTTTAAACTCCTTTCTCGGTAACTGATTAACTTCGCTGATTATTGTCCAATTTAGATGAAACCAAATGAAAGGGCAAATGCGTGTAAATACCAAGGCCCAAAACTGTGTCTCCAAATATAAGTTTCATAAAGTTTTGGAGAAGTACCTCCCACTCAGAAAGTGGAATATGTATACTAGTCTATAGCTATTAAGAGCTCGATGAGCAGGCTGTTGATAACTACAACGATATCCTGGCAACGGGGTGCGCTATCGATATTTAATGAAACTCGATATCTTTCCGTTGACTAGAAGGATACGTGCTTCTTTTAAGTCTCTGGCTATTAAAGCTTCCAATTCGATGTGTTTATACAAACGGGCAGATGGACAGATGGACAGGCAGACTTGTGACTTTAGCTTTTAAAGACTTTTAACGACCTCAAAAAACAGGATTTCTATGTCGACTTTTATCGATTGCTTGGCAACGGGGCAAGTTATCAATGATCGGAAACAAACGGTGTCTCAGGTGTCGTTAATTGGTTCTGAGATCGACGCGATCATACAGACAGATAGGCAGACGACCGTAGGAAGGTCGACTTGGCTATTAATGCTGACCAAGAACTTATACACTTAATAGGGTTGCAGATGTTTTTTCCGCCTGCATTAAAGAATTTTTCACTTTTAGCTCTCTTTCAATGGTTCAGGTTTGGTTTGGTTCAGGTTATAAAACGCAAACGTTAAAGAGTGCAAAATATGTGCTTTTTTCTATAAATCCTGACACAATGCTTATGTGAAAATTATGATATAATCTAAACATATTGCTATTTGGCACGCGATCATCTCTAGTTTGTGCTGTCTGCCACTGTTGCTGTTGCTTTCCAAATTGCTTTATAAACAACTGCACAGCACGGGTTTAAGTGAAATTTGATATGCTCGCAGCTTAGCAGCTGCTCCTGCCTCAGGGTGCCCCCACCCCCACCCCCTCTCAATGCCACTTGAGCTGCTGGCAGTTCACTGGACCCATTCGTGCAGCTTGCTGCAAATCGGATTTGGCGGGTTTGGGGCTCAAATTGTGCAGTCGGCCACGCCCCCTTTTGCTCGATATTGCGTGCCGGAAAGTAGGAAAGTTCCTTGTTGTATTTACATGCAAATTTGTTATTGCGCTGTATTTTCTATGAGCATACCATGGGGGTGCATATTTATTGGTGGTCGGTAATTTACAGCTAGTAATTTGTAGTTTGCAGATTTATTAAATTCCATTTGGGCGGCAGCTGGGCACGATATCAACTTGTTGGATTTGCTGGTAACTGGCGAAAGCCTAGGGAAATTGGGGATGTAAGTCAGGTGGTGTGAATGTCTGCGGATGGAATGAGGGCGGCATCAGGGAGGGGCTCAGAGCGTATATCATTTGCTGGACGAGATTGCGCTCGTGCCCCATATTCCGGATCGAGTTGGTTTCGCGCAACTGTGCCAGCCGAGTGGTCAGCTGATTCATGCGTAGCTCATGCTCCAGATCAACGGCATCGAGCAACGACTCTTGGACAACGTTAATAGATTCATCAGTTTTTCTCGACATCTTGGTCAGACGCTTGTGACAGCGACTCAGCAGGGCGCGACGTTGAGCATCTTGGATTTCCATTGACTTTTGCTGGGGCTTGACGTGCTCGGGGCAGGGCTGCGACGGACGCAGGCAGTGACAGTAGCTGAGATTATACATCAGATACTCCTCGAACTCCTCGCACGGTGCCAGCATCTTCTGGTAGTTCTCCAGCGTGGCCAAGTCGCCCGGATCCAGATGGCGCGCACCACAATCCAGCTTCAGATAATGGCTATAGAAATAGTTGAACAGCTCCTCCGCCAGATCCATGAAGAACTTGATGGGCTTGTGAAATGCATCGCCCAGTACGAAGGGCGTCTGCTCGGTCAGATCCAGTTTGTGGAACTCGCGCCGAAAGGCCAACAGATGAGCGCGTATCACGCTAATGCCACGAGTCATGGCCAGATTGGAGCCCATTATAATCTGATAGTGCAACTGGTACTTGTTTATGATCACATCCTCGGCATCCACGCTGCGCGGCAGCGGCTTCCGGCAGGTAGCGTCCGATTCTATGGAAAAGTCGCGCGTCAATGGCCACAGCTTCTCGGCGGCCATGCGCTGCAGTCCCAGCTCCTTGAGCCACTCATTGAAGTAGCCCCTGTACGCCTCGTCCAGCATCAGCAGCTCGGTCAGCACCTTAACCTCAATGCCAGCGTGCTCCCGCTGGACCACGGTCAGCACCGGGCCCAGCGGAACCTTCGGTAAAATCGTGTAGTCACTGCATTGCAGTAAGCCCGTTGTTAGTCGGGGGTCCCCCATGTTATGTTCGGATTTTTGTAGGTATTTCATAATGCATATTAAATTATATATATCCAGTTTCTCTCTCTCTCCCCCTCTCACTCTTTCTCAATTGATATTATGAAACTCGTGTAGTGGAGCACAACTGATATTTACTCATAAGTTTACTTGACTGGCAAATAATCGAAAACTAGCTATGCAACAGCAAAAGAAAATAGCTTAGTCAGTAGGCTGTACATTTAATATTTCTTGAATTTTACTAATACGTCTGTATTGATGAGAGAATAAAGTTGGCCTATTTTATGCTCTAACCTGTTCGAAGTCCCAGCTCAAATTAATCAACCCATATTTGGTGATGTATTCTTGGAGGTAGAAATCAAAGTAGATTTCAATATAGACTCGAAGAATCACAATGTAATTTGATATTAATATTTTCAAAATATATTTGTAGAAAACCTGATTAACGAACTGAGCCCAGGGCCAGGCTCAGACCGTAAGGACAAATATGCATACATTTAATTAAAAATGCGTCCTTCCAAATATTATGCCTTCCAAGGATACACACATAAGTATAGTTTCTAATGGAAATGTGCTTTTACGAAACTATCATGCCGGTCAGATGTGCTTTGATATCATATCACAAATGTTTATCGATTTGGCGCCAAATGTTGTTGGCATTGATTGTGAAATCGGAACAGCGCCCAAGGGAGACGTAGCCGGCAGGCAGCAGGACAAGAGGAAAACACTTTGACAGGCAGCCAACAGGCAGGCATCCAGTTTCACGTCATAACAAACCCGATACCAGAGCTAACTGAATCGAGGGACAGCGCTGACAATCTACCAAAGCGTGCCACGTGCCATTTAAGATCTTTGCATATGTCCCCAAATGAGACACTTTTGTGCCGTTTAAGCTGGGAGCGCCCAGCACGCCTCACCCCAACCCGCAGGCCTCCATTATCAGCAACATCTGCATTTTGATTGACTGTGTGTGTGAGTGTGAATTGAATTATGTGCTGGGGCCAAATTCAATTTTTGCTGCGATGCTGCACAAAAGCAACATCACATGTCACACGCGGCATACACTGCGTATGCGTAATGTCGGCCGGATGAGTGCGAAAACTAGAGTCGCGAGTCGTTGTCCTTGCTGCGTGCCCTGCGGGCTATTATCGCCAGAGCTCCGCAGCAATGTGCAGCGCTCTTAAAGCTGAAAAATGTCAAATGTTGAATTTACGAGGCATCTGGCAAAAAGTTGCTCAAACTCTGCAACAAGTTTTCTCTACACACACATGCCACATATGGGCGGCACTGTTGCTGGGCGTGGCTCTGCTGCGGGAATGAAATGAGTTTTGTATTTTATATTTTGTTTTTTTGCTTTTGTTGCTCGCATAAAACTTTGAGCTCTCCCGATTTCATAATAAGTTCACAATAAACGACGCAGACAGCAAAGTTTAATGAGAATGTGGAATAAGCAGGAAACAGATAAAAGGCGAAAAGGCACTGCCAATGCCAGACGCAAAGACGGACTAATGACAACTTAAAAAACGATGCTCTCAGAGATTGGCATATCATGCATAAGCAGAACTACGCTCACACCATGCCAACTGCAACATTCACAACAACAACAACAAGGATAGCGACAAAAACTCATTTCAACTAAAACAGAAACAACAACAAAAAAGTCATTTGCATGTAATGCATACAGCTATTCCCTAATGAAAAGACTCTGAGCGGGTTAGAGGGAAAATATACAATTTAAGTACAGACAATTTTTCATTACATTTATATTTTAATGATAAATGTTTCGTATAATGCATTATATGCTCAATAGTATTGAAATATGATACTATCGATTGTCCATAAGCACGCAAAAGAAATATCGATAAGCGATTAGCCTGCTTAGCTGGCTAACTAGTTAACTAGTTTAGCTATAAGTAGGCCCTAGTTATAAGCTTTAGCTAGCATCTCAGCTCCTCTTCTCCACTGTGTGGGACGCCTTAGCCAAGACATACTGTACTTGACTAAAAGTGCCTGCAAAGCATTGTAACAGAATGTTGCGATATTAGCTAAAAGCGCAAAAGCATTAAAATGTTGATGTTGCAACAGATTTGAAATGGGACATGGTCGATGATCAGCAAACCAGCAGAATGGTAAGGATTAAGAAATATATATAAATTGTTAAATAAACACCAAGACTAAGAGCTAGATGAAAGCAGATGTCTTTATTTTACATTACTTACTGAAATAAGGAACTACCATCCGAGGATTCCAAGTACACGTGCAACACTTTTTAAGAAACGCGTGGAAACTAAGAAACAATATTTAAACCACAGTTACGTAAGCTTGTATAAGTAGGTATTAAGCGAGATCTGCTTGGGTCAACAGATTTTTTTTTATATTTAAACATCGCACAAGGGGAAAATTTATATTTACCTATTCACCACTTCAAGTTGATCTTGGGGCTGATCTAGTTTCCAATTTTCTAAGTACTGTTAGATACCCAGCGCTATAAAGTTTTTAAAGAAACACAAATGGCGCATAATAAATAAAATAAAATAAAATTTCCCAACAATTTTTCAGCTGTGGGGTGGAATTTTTGGGAAAATGTTAAGCACGAATTTATAATTTTTCATGAATAGCTTTGGACAAGAACTTAAAGTTGAATGGATAAAAAGCTTAAAAATGGGGGTGCCACAGTATTCCTAGTATTTTCCGACCGTGGATTCTACAAAATTTTTGAAACATATATTCATTAATTTTAAATAATGAAAGGGAGAGAGAGGAGGGCCATCGGAGTGTAAGTAAACCTTTCGTTGAAACATTTTCCAGCGAGGCGAGGTTGGATTTTCCCGAAAAATGTGATACACATTTGGTCTATTTAGTTGATTTATAAAGGAATATTATTGTGGCCTTGCAGCATACACAATCATATCTATATAGACTCTATGCACGACATATTTGAAGGCTCGAGTTGTTTATATGCTGGACAAATGAATGAAATTAACAGCTGCGCAATGCCCCAAGGACTAATTGGGAATTAAGCAGATACAAATTGAAGACAAGGAGCAAGGACCTGGGCAGCCAGTACGACGACAGTTGGCCCGGATCAAACGCACACAAAAGCCGGATGTAATTAATTTTAGCCCCGCAAGTTCAACTAAGTGAAGACATGCTGCATCCGGCAGCGACACCAAAGAAGAAACTATATACACTACACATATAGATATAAATATATATATATATATATATATATATATATATATACAGTTGACCCCCTGCAACAATATTTGATTAAATCCGAAAATGAAGAAAACACGCAAATATGGCACAAGAGCCGCCATTACGGGTCACGCGAGCTGCCGGGCAGCCCATGAATTGTGGGCGCCATAAAAAGGCGCTGGGCATTGGCCACTAAATAAACACCACAGCACTTGGCTAATGGCCGCCACCCGTCAGCCCCCACCCCCCAACACCGACCCAGCTCTCAGTGTGGCCCAAATCCGCAGACACTTGACGGCTGATGCCAGCACGTAAGCAACGCATCCGGCTAGCCCAGCGTGTGAAAGCCACAAAGTGAGCCGGTCTAAGGGTGCGGTCTATTAGCGTGTGTTCAAGGCGGTGGGTGAGGGTGTGGGTGAGGGTGCGGGTGGTGCACTGCACAGCCGGAAGCTGCTAACAAAGTTCTGAGCCAACATTCACATGTGTCGGCGAAAGTTTTGTGCGGAAAACTAGCTGCAACCAGCAACTGCTTTGGCGTTGCCAAATGAGGTGGTGCTCAACGACAGCGACAGGCACCGAGTGGTGCACGGACAGGTGTTTAAATGAGTTTTCGTTGCGTTGTCAACACGCTGCCGGCACAGGCAGCAATTGCCGTAACGCAGGATTTAGTTAGCCGCAGGACGTGCATTAGAAACAAACGCAACGCTGATTGCCATTTCGAGAGCCACAGAACCCACCGAATGGGTGGTGCGCCCTTGACATTTTGCCGTTCTCTTTGCCGGCTCAGTCATTTTTTTCTCCATTGACTTGTTTGACTGTGTTAATCAGTCCGAAATGTCGACTTGATGCTGTGCCAAGTCTTGAAGCAGTCCATAAATTCTAAAGTGATGCAAAGTGCGCCAGGGGAGCTGTGTGTTTGGGCGACAAACAAATGCAATTTGATTTGTGTTCGACATTTTGCAATTTAATTTCTCTTCAGCTGCGTGCTGCAGTGCATAAATCAAAGACTGATAGCCTTTGAAATAGCCTTAGGTATGGCCATAGCCAGGTCCTTTGCTTTGTCCCTCAGCTGCAGCTGATTGATGTTGCAATGGCTGACGGGCTAAAACGAAAGATTAAGTATACGCCACTTTGGGCTTAAGCTCAGGTAGCCTTGCAAAAAGTATTATTTGTCACGAAATGTGTAGAGGCATAGAAGAAGGTATTTATAGACCCATCATGTATATTTTCTTGAAGTAGATCGGTCAGCTTTATCAGATACGTTCAATAAGAAGCAATCGGTCGTAAATTAAGTTTATGAATGAAAATTTCTTTTGCTTGACAAGATAGTAAAGAACTAAATGGGAAAATAGTGTCAACAGCTGAATATCCGATCATTTATAGGAATGGGAGCCATATACTATAGTAGTCCAATTTGATGGGGCTTAAAAGTGTAGCTCATAAGATTGGTCAAGATATAGAAAACTAACTCTTCGACTCCGATATAGCTGTCAAGCTAGGTACATTGACTCGGCTGAAGGCAGCTGTTCTTTCTGGTTTTACTTGCTGTTAATCCCCCGACCGACTTGCTCTATCTTTTTGCAGGTACGACGACGCACACAGGCGCAGCAGCAGCAGCAACAAACCACGCTGCAGGAGACGCGCCCATATTGCACCAGCGAGCCGCGTCTCAGCGAAACGGAGACGCCCCCGCAGCGCCGGAAGCTCTCCCAGCGCCGGCCGCAGCCGCACGGTGAGTAGAGTCCTCGTAATGGCCGTCGGGGCAATCAAAAAGTGTGCTGCCACACAAATTAGTCAAGTGGCCGCATTTAATGCGGCCTTAATGCAGCTCAAGATACTAGCCAAAAGTTGGCCATAAATCGTTTAACAGCCGGCAGCAACAGCAGGAGCTGGCGACAGACAATGTTCCTAGTTATGAGCGACTATTTATAGCGCTGCGGGAGAAGGGCGCACTGAATCATGAACAACATTCGGGGCACTTTCAGCGACAAACAGTTCCATTAGCGCCTTGTAAGCTTGATGTGGATATGCTTATAATAGATATTTTCGTATAAAGTTGATTTAATTAACGCCCTGTCGCCGCATTCAGGCTGGACGATCGTTAAACTTAACCATTGACCCACTTTTGGCGCACAACCATCTGAATAAAGCACCGAATGTACTTATGGTAACGCCCCCTTTGCCACTGCCCCTCCACTTGACGCCTTTGTACAAATCTGTGTCAGGCAGCAAACAACAACAAGAAATCGCTTTCAAAGGGTAAAAAGAAAAACTTGACATTTCCGGGCAATGAAAAACAAGAGCGAAGCTTTTCGAGCGGCCGCAGCATAAATACTCTTGTTTATAAATTAATAAATAGATTAATATGTAGGAAATTGATCTTGCGTGGAAACTTATAGGCAAGCTTGTTTGGGAAAGAGAAACTTACTGAAATTGTGCGTCATATTATATATTAGTCCGACAATGGATCTAATATTATGCATTATTGCATGAGATAACAATAGATCAATTGTTTGACTACTCTTATAACATCAGGCATTTATCAGGGAGTAGGTAGTTTTTCTTTATTGAGCGCTTCAAGATAAACTTAGATAAGTCAATTTCCTTTCCTTTAAATACATATAAAACTTATACTTGTGGCTCTTATTTGAGACATTACGACAAGCCCCGATAGCGGTAGATAAAATTGATGCCAGCTAATCCTTACTGTGATTCCAGTACATTTTCGTCTCATGCAGGTACAATTCTATAGATATATGATGCACTCCTGCCGCTTCTTTTAATAAATTCTTTATAATCTGCAACAACCTACACATTTCTGCACTCTTGCAATCTCAAGTTGAGAAAAGTGCATCGCTTGCTTGTTCAATAAATTGCAATCGCTGATTGTAATGCAATTTAAAAAGATAGAAATTAATTTAATATCATGATTTTGCAGGGCATAGAAAATCGAACGCCTTCCTGGACGTGCCCACAATGAACATGCATCACCTGAGAGTGAACGATGACGACGAGGATGTGGATCGCCTGCGCACATTTAGTGCATCCAAAGGAGGTAAGTGACAAACGCAGCGGCAGCAGCAGATTGATAGAGAAAGGAGACACGGGCACAGAATGGGGCAGTTACACAAAAGGCTTCTTAGCCGCATTTATTAATTCCAAAATGGAAAATCAACAAAAGAGACGCCAGCTGTGGATGCCAGGGCTTAGATTTTACAATGGCAACACACATGCCAGAAGCAATTCGGACTCTGGGCAAACTAGGCCATTTTGGGCATACAATTATTGTGTCTGAAGAACTTGGTGGAATCTCAAAAAGGTTGCCTTAAAAGGCAATCAGTGACATTTAATGCCACTTAAGATAGGCCCAACGCACTCTTTAGTTTTCAACAGATACCATTTCTATATTTGTGTCACGTTATTGTTACACATACGCAACGTGGGCCAATCCGAGAAACCGAGACGGAAACCGAAACCGAAACCTTAACGAGAACTTAGCATGCTTTAGCTACGCGCTATGCGTGTGTGTGTGTGTGTGTGTGTGTGTCTTAGCCTGCATAAATGCATGTCTCCTTTAAGTACGTGTTTAAGCTCAACTGCCACACACAAGCCCACACACGCACACATAGCCAAACACTCTTTGCTAGAATTGACACCAAGCAGCTGTTTGCTATGCCCTAATAGCGGGTATTTCGACTTAGCCAAGCATCAGACAACTTGAGAGCTGTGCCTTTTGGAATATATTAAATGAAAGTAAAAAGGAGATGGACTATTTTAATATCAGTTTAAATAAATGTGTTAAAAATGTGTTTTGCTTGTTTTTTTTTAAGGAATTTTACTTTAAATTTAAGTTTAATTTAAAATTTGTTGTTGTCCTTTAAATACTTTTTTGAAACAAATTTTATGCACATTTACTTATTTCTCTGAGACAGCTCTATTATAAGAATATTAATATATACAAATGAATGCCCAAAGTTGAATAAAAACTTTTGTACTTCTGCTGCAGAACTTTTAAGAGACATAATAAAGAGACACATGTTATTTTCAAGAGTGCGCTAGCGAAATATACTGACAAACGTCTATATAATCTAGTCTAGATAAACTTGATCAAGGCTGCAAACTTCTTCTCTTCTAAAGTGCTCTTACGTTCTAGTATGTTCGGCTTATAATCATAGATTATGCCACAAAGTGGCTTGAATTATATATATCTAGTGTGTCAGCGTTGCAAGCTGTATAGCCCGAAGGATTTAGAAAACGTTTCACAGAGCTTCATCGACTATGCAGTTGTAGCCGGACCCAGAGCTGACTTCAAGTCTCTATAAAGACCTGTCTTTCCCCTTACAGTTGTATGCAATACAAAATTCTGTTTCCCGGGCATCTAGTTTCAGTTGGATTTATGAGATCTCTTTCAAACGCTTTTTGGACCTCATCCGAGGTAGAACAAAGGTTAACTCTATCGTTCCTTTAGTCTCTGGGCAATTGGCATCACAATGAACCAAATGCATTTCAAGATTCTGTGCATTGGCTAGAGCATAGATACACTCAAGTGTAAGCTTTGATAGGGTATTCAAGTGACGGTGTTAAGGCTTAAAGTGAAACTTTGTAACTGGCAGCGACTGTCGCCTTGCGTACCTATATATATAGCATATATTATATATATATAGTTGAGTTGAGTACGTTAAATTGTCAGTCTTTTGACACTGGTTGGGTAAATGAAGCGCAGACTGGGGACATGTTTCAAATGGCATACGAAACGCGCTGCATATTAAAATTCAATGAAGTTGCCAGCGTTTACTCAACTAAATTGCTTTCGAATACAAGAAAATGTCCACATATGCAAGTAACATAGTCATCCCACCGAGAGTCTGTGCATGTGTGTGTGTGTGTGTGAGTGTGAGTCTGAGAGAATTCCTTGTGGTTGTGCCGGGTGCGTCATGTGCACAAATTTAATTAAACTTAATACGCAGTCGACTCAGGCACGAATCGCCAAACCGTAAGGCAAGCAAAACCCCATCAATTATGTTTACAGTTTGAATTTAAACAGCAACAACAAAAAGCAGAGGGAAAATAAAGAACATTTACAGAAAATTTCATTGAAGTACGTAGGGGGCGTGAGGTTTGGGGCGGGCAGGGGGTTGGGCTGGTTTGATGATTAATTGAAGCGCTAGCGTGTGTCAGTCGTCAGCGTCAGCCAATGAAGCGCCACCCAGTGAAACATTCAATGAAAAGCTGTCCAAAAGCGGCCACAATGCGTTGCATGTTATGCCTGTATGTGTGTGAGTGTGTGTGCGTATGAGTGTGTGTGTGCGTGTGTGTAGTTCTTCTGCTGTGCTTAAGATTGAATTGGTGTGCGAACTGGAGCCTGGCTGCAGGACTGCGTCTGGTTATGATGACGCTCGCTGTGTAAATTCAATTATAATTGAATCATGTCCACGCACGGCCCGTTGAAGGATGTCTCTGGACATTGGGCGTTCGGTGACGTGGGCATGGTCGTGTGGGCGCATCTCGCACCGAATCGGGACATATGACTTAGATGAGGCGTTGTTCATGCAGCTGGCATAGCTTAATTGGCTTCATCTCAGCTAAATAAATTATATACAAGCGAATAAAAAGTGAAACGTTCAACAATGCTCGACTGGGACATATCCATTGAAAACATATTGTATATATATATATATGTGCAGTAATAACAGAAGGACTATTTTTACGCTGTGGACAGCATATTGAAGAATATAACTTATACTTTATACAATTTTCTGCAAATCGCAATCCTAAGCTTAAGACCGACTCCTCTGTTGTTGAGATTCAAGATTCTATATATACATATAGACATAGCAGAATGCACCCCTATTAGTTTTTGGTTTAATGCTTCAACCAGCTTCCTGCCTAGGGAGCTTTTGTTCGTGAAGCTGGTTTGCCACATTCTGATAATAAACAAATTTCAATTAATCATTTTTAAAATATTGCAACAACGCGTATTTAAATATACAAGATTCGGTACATATTTAATCTCTTATCACCTTGAAAGCGTGCAATACCCAGCTGAAAATGATTTAGCAAAAGGCAAACATGTGCGAAATCTCGTGCAACACTCGCCGAACTTTAAATCAATCGGCAAATAAAAATTGATATTTATTTTCTCAAGCAGTTATTCATTACCAAAAAATGTTCAAACAATGCGTGAAGGCAACTTCGAAAGGCGAAAATAGCTAAAATAATAATTTAAAGACACATCAAAAAGCAACGAGCAATATGAGTTAAACAAAAGCTGCGTCGATTGAGATAAATTCTACGAAACATAAAAAGAAACAAAAAAAACTTAAAAATGAAAGAAAATTAATTCGAAAAGTGAAAATTCTTCAAAGTTTCTGCTCTGTTTGGATTCTGCTGCCTTATTAGTTATGCAGAGTACAATTATTTTTGATTACATTTCAGAGTTCATCTAGCTAGATGTTCGAGGCATAAACTTGGGCAATTTCAATAGCTAAACACTTGATCATTTCCTCAGCTAAATTTAAACATTCGGCATTTGTACAAATATTTATTGTAACAAAACGAAACAAAACACAAAGAAAAACGATTGTTTAAAAGCTGAATTTTATAGTCAGCAGTTTTCACCTTTTCTTTTTCTTTTTCTTTTCTGTTTTCAAATGAAATTTTGCAAAATCGCAATTGTAATTTTTGCTATACTATAAATTGCCACCCAGCCGGGCGATTTTATGGCTTTCCAATGATGATGGCCGCACACCTACGCCTCTGCCCCCCCCCCCCCCTTAAAACCCCCTCGGGCACATGCAAATACATATATTTATGCATTTGTAGATTTTTATTGCCATTTTGGCAATTAATTCAATTTACACAATTAATGACCGCAGCGTTTGCTTGAGAAAAATCTCTCGGCTAAATTCAGAAATAACCGAATGCAATAAAGCAGGCCATAAATCTATTTATGACATTTAAATGTACACAAAACAATCGCATAAACAGGCACAAGTCAAATGCAAACAAAATTTTGTTGCGGATTTTTACATATTATTCTTAAACCGTTGGCTCAATTTGACGACATTGAATAAATACATTCATAAAGACTTTTCAATTTTCAACTGTTTAAATGAATACATTTTATATGCATAAATAGTGTCTTCTGTCAATTAATATAAGTATTCAAATCAAAATAGATATAGAAATGCAATCCGAAATTAGTTTTGACTAGTGTACCTCACATGATATTTATTTGAATTAAAACAGAACAGCCAACAATTAAGCTGTCCATTAAATGCTCAACTAACTATTTTGTAATGCTTGGCAAACAAAAATATTTGCAAATGCATATCGTGTATTCACAGCAGTTGTTAAACAAAGGCGCAGTCTTCACAACTTGCAGATAATCCTAATGTTAAATACACTGTAAAGTGTGTTTGCATATGTGCAGCTATGTAAGTGTTGCAAAACTATGGAAAATTTACTTCACCGTTAAACGGCGCTATCGAGTATTTCGATAATTGGTACAATCGATAACTTCCTTGGTGCCCCTAATAATATCAAGAGTTGGAATATTAAGAAAACTTACAATGTTGAATATCATTATAAATACTTAAGTATTGCAATGTATGTATATATATAGAAATAGGCGATATATATCGAAATATGAATAGGTTAGTTGTATCAATGTTGGAAAGGAAACAACAACGATACAAAGAGCTTTGATACTTGACTTAAGTTTTAGGGGTAAAGTTGTAAAATAAAGATGCAGAGAAAACAAGAAAAGATTGCGGACTTTATACAACGCACATTTTCTTTAATTTATTGAACTTTTGCCAACGCCAATCATATTAATAGCTATAAGTACTTACAAATCAACACGATAGAAAGTTATCGATAGCAAATCGGCAAACAAAAATCAATCATTTAACAAGTTACGTTATCTAAGCTCTTAGTAGCAAAAGAGGGCAATTTCAATGTCAGAGATAGCTTTCAACATTTGTTTAGGATAGCTTTATACATTTACTAATATGTGCATGTCTTTTGAAGTACTGTAGACCTGCAACCTACTCGAGCAGGCACAAATAAAATATTTACATAGGTCCGACATCATGCATAGGCAAACAATCTGCAACGGCGACCACAAAATGTAAACAGAAAATTGGCATTTCAAATGCGACTGGCCAAAATTGATAGATAGGCGCAAATGCACATTGCAGCTAATGAATTTTTAAATTTAAAGCCTCTATTCAATCTTGCTGCCCGCCTGCTGCACAGCTGCGCAAAAACCATTTCGAATAAACCACGAAGAGTGAAAAAAAAAGAAATAAATTGAAGGGCTGCAGCAGCATTTGAAAAGGCGCAACAACTGGCAACATGTTCGCCATATTACAGCCGCAGACAACACGAAGTGCGGGTGGGGATGAGAGGAGAGAAGGGCTGTACCTCACACAAAAGATAGATTAAGCATTGTTGTTGTTGTTTTAGTTTGTTTTGTTTATTATAGTCAGCTGCCTCCGGCAGGCAAACGTAATTTTAGCCAGGCTCAACGCGGCGTATGAGCAACACATGGCGCCTCGTTGCGCATACGCCGCATAGGCCCGGGCCACGCATTGCATTTGGAATATTTTTGTCTGGTTTTTTTTTTTTACTCGGTAACATTTGCGACATGCAACTCATGGCTGACACAACATTCGCAGGCATCATCAATCGCGGCGACTCCTTTCGCAGACGTCGCTCGCGCAGCAACAGCCTCGCCCCGGTTAGTCCCATGCATCCGCGTAATGCGATGGCCGGGCTTAACGGTGCCGGCGGCGGCGGCAGCAGTCTGGGTCTGGGCAACAACTACAATGGCGGCGGCAACAGCAATGGCTTCGCCGCCAGCTCCGGCCAGGATAATCATCAGCCGGTGGAATTCTATCGCGTCGAGATGCTCGGCTCGCCCGGTGTCGGCAAACAGGCGCTCGTTTCCCAATTTCGCACCTCCGACTGCATCAATGCCTACGATGGACCAGGTAAGTGCGGCAGCTGCCGCATGATACATTTACAAAGAAAAAAAAAAGACTAATACCTTGCCCCTTAATCTCTGGCCCTGGGTCTCGGCAGAGTGCGATGAGGCCGAGCAAAACGTTTCAATTATTCTGAATGGCACCGAGTCGGAGCTGAAGTTCCTCACTGGCAATCCGGAGAGCAAGGTAAGTCAAGCGCATAAGCCCAAACGATCCATTTGTCAAAGTGTACAACACACTCACACACAAAAACAAATACACACGCACACACACACACACTCTCATATTTAGTCTGACATTAGCTTGCAGCTGCTTTCCTTTCGGCCAGTTGTCGCATTTGTGTCCCTTGTGTCCCTTGTGTGCGTGCTATAATTGTTGTTAAACATATCAATATTAACCTAGAGACTGCCCACAACTACATTTACAATTCCTACCCTCGCCACTAAAAGACAAATTTTGGCATTTGCACAGAGCCAACCGCTTGAACTTGACCGAAAGCCATTTGTTATTTTGTCTCGGCACAAATTCAATTAATTACAAATGCAAACTAAGCGAATGCGACTTGAATTGTGTGTAAATTGTGGGCGTAGCACAACAACAGCCGCCCCTCAAAGTTGTAGCAGCCACTAATTAGGCCACAAAAGCAAAATTTCTGAATAACTCGAAATATTAAGAACCGCAGAACCAAAACGGGCCAAGAACTTTACCTAAACTGCAAGTTGCATAAGGAGAGGCAGACAGAGAGAGAGAGAGAGAGAGAGAGGCGGAGTAGGGCAGAAAGGAAGAAGGTTTTGGGTGCTGTGTCATGCAGCATGCTGCTACGTTGCCTGCATACTCAAGTGCCAGTCGGCAGAAGGAATGTTTTGTACCTTAAATAAGGGCAAAAGTGGGTGAGTTCTTTATGCTTCGCCTCGGCATGCCGTGTAGCTGTTCAGAGAAAGGCTAAGCTGGTCAGGTATTTGAAAAATTAAGACTGAAACAAAATAAAAGTGTAGGATGAATACTAAGACCGACTGTGACGTACCCTAACCAAAATTTAACAGGCAACGAAATGGGATAAACAAAGCAATATGACGGCTAGAAGTAAATATATACAAGATAGTATATGAAGCAGCCACATAGAAGAGCTGTGGAATAGCTGTGCTAGAAGGAATCACGTTAGGGAGAAGGAAGGAGAAGGAATCACCGAACACCAAGCATCCTACAAAGTAAATCAAGTGATCTTGCTATACCAAAAAGATAAAATATCTTTACGATTATTTTGTTTTCGGATAATTAAAAAAATTCCCAGTAATATTCATAAACTTCTGCCTGACTTAATACTGAATGTGTAACAATGGAGAAGAGCATTTTACCTATAAACAAGAATGCAAGCGTAACTTGGGCACGCCGAAGATTTAATACCCTTGTATGCATTTGCATTACAGTTTTGCAGATATGTCAGAATAATGAAACTCATAAATTCTGAGTTTAATGAAAATATTTTGGAATACAGAAAATTTAGCCATCAAAAAAACTCATTTTTCTACCGATTCTTTCTATAGGGCTATATAACAAAGTAGTAGTATAGTATAAGTAGTATAGATTAAGCAATAAATGAAGGGTTTTTGTCAAGATATCTTGATAAACAATACAATTTTCCATACAAGAACTTACCTTTCGACTGATCCTATGGCAACTATATGATATACTGGTCCAATCTGGCCGCTGTCGACATATGTTCTGCCTGCAACAGAAAGACAGATAGTTTTAAAACTGTGAGCCACGTTTGCATTGTTAAAGACAGACGGATATGCCATGATCTAGAATATTCATATTCTACGGAGGATGTCTCCTTCTAAGCGTTACAAATTTTATGACAAAATCATAATACAAAAATAAAATAATATATATATTTCTAAGATTATTCTATTCACAAAGATCTTTATAAAATTTAATAAATAATACTCGAGTCAAACAAATCGCAATGCAGTGTAAAAAAAGGAAAGTTCAAAAGATAATTGAAATTGACCATGGAGGACCTTCGCGAATCGAATTAAGCAGATCATTTAAAAGTGTTATGCCTGAGCTATATGACAGACAGCAATATGCTCTTATGAAATACACCGAAGAGATATTTCAAGCCTATGCGAAACGGTCCAATTTTTTCAGCGGGGGGCTTTCAGGGATATGGCAAAATGGCAAGAATAACAAATACTGAACAGTTTTTGCAATAACAAGCAAAACAACAATAACAACAACAATACGCAGAGCGGCGATAAACATGCAATCGAAATGCCAAATTGCTGGCCAAATGCCAAATGACCAGCAAGACGCCCAACGGCCAAAGCGACGACGTACCCACTGCTGGCCGGGGCGGGGCGGGGCGGGGCGGGGAAGTGGGCGTGCGAATGGATCCTAAAGCGTGTGTATATATATAAACATATATATTGGGGCCGGTTGAGGGGAGCGCAGTTTGGCGCAAGCAATAATGGACGATGATTAAGGCGACGATTGCGGGCCAACAGACAGACAGAGGGGAGGGCGCAAGCGTGCGGGTGGCGGCGGCAGGTGTTGGGGCAGCTTGCAGCGTTGACAAACAAAAGGAAATGGCAACAATTTATACATTCTGGACACAGAGCAAGCACAAAGCCAAGCGTATTAAAGCGTCGCGCGTTCACACAAAAGTTGAAAGTTGAAAGAACAAATAATAAACAGCAAAAATCTTGGCTCAACTCGAGGCAAATGCACACGAGCATGGCCGTCAATCATAAATACCTTGACACAAACACACAGATACACACAGATGCCACACACACACTCAGACACACTCGTAGAACGTGGCGTATGCATTTGGCAATCGTAAATTCCTGCCAAAATGCCGGATGTGCCTGGCGTTGCTTTATGGCTATTTTTTAGCCACACAAGTAACCGAAGAATAAAAGTAGCCAACACTGAAAAATTCAGCGTCACTTCCGCCACGCCCACTGGCAACGCCTCTCTGGGCGCCCCAAAAAACTATACAAGCAGTTTGATGCTATTGCAGAAATGGCCATGACGATATAAGCTCGTAAGTTACTTAGGATATATGGACTTTCGAAAAGCTATCGGCTTAGTAGAGAGTTACAAATGAATTAAATCAGAAAGAGCATTCATAATAGCTACATGCTCAACATATCGATGTGTAAGTTCGGCTATATGATAATATCGATAAGTATCGAATCAGTTAAGCATCATTCACCTATCAACAGGTCCTATCAGAGTAAGTTAGCTTGTAGGAAACCAGAAATAGTTATGATTAATAAGCTCTACAAGGACTTCTGTAAATGCAGCAATCGATCATTTATCGAATCATTTATTTAAAAAATTATCGATAAGCTATCTTATCGATATATTTCCATAGTTTCTTTGCAGGGACATCAATAGGCCGATAAACTTTCGATTGATTTAGCAGCTTTTAAGCTCTTCTTCCGCAGCTATTAGTAAATCCTAGGCTAAATCGGAAGTTGGGAATGCCCATATTTAACAGATTCTTCAAGAAATAACAAAACTCGACTGACTTCTGATTTCTTCAAGTAGTTGTGGTAGCTGGCCCTTGAGTTTCGGCTGATGTCAAGTGCAACAAGGAGCCGCAGCTTATGCAACTTGTCAATTATGCAAAACAGCTGTTAATTTAGAGGCTTTAAAAAGGCACCTATTATAAATTCAGAGTATCATTAAAAGTCGCGCTGCAATTTCAAGCAAACTTTTGAAATTTTTTGCCTGACGCAGATGCAGACGTAGATACGGCTGTAGGAGACAGGACACAGGAGACAGGATGCAGAAACAAGTTGAGCTACGGCCAACGCTCAACTTTGTGGCTCGTTATGAGGCAAAGTGGCCATAATTTTAATTTTTACGAGCATAAAGAAACGGAAGAAAGCAACAAACACGAACGTACAGGCAGCAAGTCCTGCAGCAGGACACGGCAATGAGCCGGCGCTTTATGGCGTTGCATGCGGCGTGGCCTTCGTAGTTGTTGGGCATTACCAACTTTTAATGTTGTCTTAAATTAACACACACACACACACACACACACGTACACACTCGCTTAAGCCATTTAAGAGTTTTGAGTTTACTTTCTAAAACTTGTTGAATCATTTGAACAGGAGGAACTGGAGCAGGCGGATGCATTTCTGGTCGTCTATTCCTGCATTGACAAGGAGTCCTTTACGCGTGCCAAGCAGATCTTATCGCGTTTGCAGGACATGGACTTGCTGCGCCATCGACCCACCATTTTGGTGGCCAACAAAATTGATTTGGCCAGATCACGCGCCGTCTCAGCGCAGGGCAAGTGCAGCCAGTGCGTGACTCTTGGCAATTTTCTAATTCCAACCCTCTCTCGCTCCCTCTCTTAACTCTTGCAGATGGTAAATGCGTGGCCTGCACCTTTGGCGCTAAGTTCATTGAGGTATCGGTGGGCATTAACCATAACTGTGATGAACTGCTCGCCGGCACTTTGACCCAGATACGCCTGAAGAAGGATCACAATCTATTGCAGGTGAGTGTGAATGGCTTCCCAACGGAATTGAGTGTCTTAGACTTTGGATGGTAGACTAGGCGTAACAAGCTCCAGTTTCAGTACAGTAGATGTTGATCAACATCTTAAGTCATCATCTCTCGCCTTTGCCTTCAACACCTGAGCGCTTTTCACATTTGTAATTCACTCTATCTCTCTCTCTCTATCATTTATCTATGTACATTTTATGTGTGTAATTGTAATGATCGCTTTCGCAGCTGAATCCGAAAAAGTCGAAAGACAAAACTAAGTTTAAAGATAGCAAAGACAAGCACGTAGAGACTGTAGAAACAGATAAATGTCTGAAACTGACTGATCTTAAGGCCGACGATGCGGTAAGTAACGAGGTCAACCAACTACGTACAGTTCTATGTGTACCCCCCTCCAAAAACTAGCCCCACAGTTGTAACCCAGCGTATCTTAAATGTTACCTCAATTGCATGCAAAACCTAACAATCCAATCAAATGTCTACAGCTTAGCGAATTTCTAGGTAATATGAGCAATTCCAGGAAAAGCGACACCACGACCAAAACATTACAAAGAATTTATCTAGAAAAGTATCTGGATTTTTAATGTGAGAAAAACGTGGCAATACACAATTTAACTTTGTATTACATTTAATTAGTTTGTGTGAAGTTTTCTCTTCAGAATTTGCTGGCTAAAAGGCAAAGTAATTTTAAATTTTAATTTTTAAAAAACCTTTGGCTTTCATAAGAGAAGAAAGAAAATATTACTATTTGCACTCTGTCGATATATGTAGTTATAATTCGTCTGTCTGTCCATTTTTTGATTGCATATTGATTGCTCAGTAATTAATTTTTGTATAAAAAAGATATTTAAACTTAACTCAACAATGACGTGGTAAAGAGCAAATTTGCAAATATGACTGCATAACCATATCAAATCGGATTACTACGATGTCATATGGCTCGTTTCTATAGGAACAATCGAGCAGTAACAAAACTTTGCAATAATAGACATCGGCCATCTGCCTAAAACGGTATTGCCTTCAACTTTATAACCTTTAGCCTAAAATCAAACTTTCGACAGCCAAAAAAAAAAAATTGCGAAATAAAATAAGTTTAAATATTACTTTGTTTATCGACATGTTGAAGGCCCTGGAACTGCTCATATAGTGTAATTTCCTAGTGAACCCAGCGTTATTTATATCTTCTTTGATCTCCTGCCCCCAGGTCAAGCAGCAATGCATATTCCAAATAGTTGATATCCATAGTTTGTAGGTTTGCCAAAACGGAAATGTGTCAAGTGTACAAACTGTTCAGAGTTTAGCTCATGCATATATGTATCTTTGTTTGTTCCGTTCTTGTTTTGTTATTCCTTGTACATTATTTGTTGCTGTTTTCACATGCTTCAAAACTAACTAAACACACCCACAAACCCCGACATTGGAGTGCAACCAAGTCGTTTAACGAGCCAGAATAAACTTATATGAAACTTAACATGCTAGTTTGTCAATTGCTGTGCCCGATAAAGACAAACTCTTTTAAAATGCGTAAATGCCATCGATTGCAGGGTCCCCGGGACGGCAGCTCGCCGGCGCATTGGTATAAGAGCCGCAGCGTAATGCTGGCCAGCATGAAGGCGCGACAGATGCTCACTTGGATACTGGGCAAGGAGGACTCCAAGTTCAAGCACTGCGAGAATCTGCAGGTGCTCTAAACACAAACATATATTAAACTGCAGCAGCTCAACAATAAAATAAAAGTAAAACACCAAATAAATAATGCTTCAAGTTATGCGAGTATTTTTGAAATGTAAAATGTAAATGTATTTGTAATATGTAATTCTATGATAAAAACAAAAAGAAAATATGTGAATATTTATAAAACCAGCAAAAGAACCAGCTAAACATAACCTTAAAGTGTAAACAGGTTTCGATATCTCGATGACCACCAAACACACACACACACACACACACACTGACACACACACACAGCAATGTCCTTTAACTGTTAACAACAACAAGCCTGATAATCAAAAATTAAATCAAATTTAATGTAAAAACAAGTTAAGGATGCGAGCAACTTTATGGAACCAAGCAAATGCAACAAAAACTATAAACTATAAACTACGTAAATCTAATTTTCTAATTGAGAAAACCAAACTTTTCTAAGCTTTGAGCTAAAAGTGAACTTTAATATATTTCCCATAAACTGTTTAGCAGAGATTAACTATTTACAACATACGAAAGCATGCTAAGTATATGATAAAGAGTTCTGTTCTTTTTTATAAGATTTACATATATGTGTAGTGTAGTAGTACAGTGTAATCTCGTAAATCTCGAAACTCAGATGATATGCAAAAGCTCAATTTCTTTGACAAGAGATTTGCGTACAAAAGCACTTTAGAAACTGTCGGAAAACGTAGCATATTTCTTCTACTTCAGAAAAAAAATCCATTGAATTTTGTGTGTGTTTAAATTTTTGTGTCTTCCGTATATTTTGTATATACATATATACATATACATATATATAGAATATATCTAATAGTTCAGTATGGAAATCCATTGCAATGTAAGGAATTTGAGTGTCATTCACACAGCGTGAGGCGCAATGTGGACAAAGGCACAAACAATAATATTTGTAAATTAAAAACTTTCTAATTAGAATTGTTTCTCTGTATGTGTATATAAGCTTAATCACATGTGGATATTTTTCAAAAAAATATATATATATAAAAATAGAATTCCCCAAAAGTTCTACCATGTACTATGTATAAAACATCTAATAAAATATGTATTTAAATGTTAAATAATCAAACTTAACGTTGTCTCTTTTTTAATTTTAATTTAAAATCTAAATCTTTTGGTACAAAACGTGATGATAATGTTATAAACTGATGCAGCTGATGAGTTGAGTATACTAAACTAGGCCCATAATTATGGATCTAAATTTTAGCCAAACTGTTGAGGTGTTGGATTCTTCACCCGTCTGGCAACTTCTCCGCGATAACGAAACAGTGGCCGAAATACATTTATCTCAGCCAGTTCCATATCATCGGCATTCTCATACTCATTGGACAGATCGTCCACAGCACGGCGCAACCTGTTCAATGTGCGCTCAAATTTGTAGAGATGCTCGAGTTTCTGCTCGGGATTCAAATGCGCAACATCTGTTACAGTGTCTGCAGTCAGTCTTTGGTCTTTGGTTTCAACGGAACTGTGGCGTTCCTGGGGATAGGCGCAAACCACTTCTAAGGTAACGAGGCACGCGACCAGTTGCCAAATATGCTATTGATAGAGCGAGAGATACATTAGAGCCTATTCAGCCGCATATTTACCCGGCTTACTCACCTTGTAAGACATCATTTTGTTTGGCTTTAGATCGGTTTTAGTGTTAAGTTTACAACAATTGAGTTTCTTTTGTATAGCTGTTAGCTGATTGACGGCGGAATTGTAAGTGTAACTAATTGGTGCGCGAGCATTGCTTTTTATACAATTGAGAAATGGCTGCAGTTTGCTCTAATTAGCACCTTGAATTGTTCTAATTGCACACCTTGTTTTTCACATGTTAAGCCGATTGCAATATTTCCATGAAATTAGCATGTCGCTATTGTGTTGTACAGTCAAAAAATCAGAGCATTCAACGCCCCTAGACTGATGTCGAGACTTAGGATAGCCGAGTCATGTGCACTGCATTTGTACTTTACAGATTCGAAATATTGTCACAGCAAACACAACTGACTAATGGTCAGCACTTAATTATTTTAAATCCCGTCGCGTGTCTGTCTCGTAACTAGCGCATGATATCAACAGGTTGTGGGCAATAATGTAGCCCCAAGCTGTCAAAATAAACAATGTTGTCAACACGTGCACCGTTTGCAATATCTAAGCAATGCAATTGGATAATTTGTATTTTTACTCAATTATTTATTTGAATTTTAAGATTGAGCGCGAGCGGGCAATATAAAAAATTTTTGTGTCCCTGGTAAATTACAGTCCCTTACCGGTTAAGAAGTTAACAGCAGGCTTTGCTTCCCCGCTTAACATTCTGTTATCCGCTTATCGTCGATATACTGGAAAAACACATCGCGCGCATGAAATCAAAATTTACCACTTAAAAGCAACGCAAATTAACTTGACCATTAATTACGCATTTATTTTTTGCGTTTCCTTAGTCAAAAGAGTAGAAAACAACTTTCAACAAAGGACAAAAATGGCCAAGTTTCTGCAGAAACACATATCCGGTGCAAGACGGGCTAATGAATTGCTTAAGATCATGTCCGAGATATTGCTGAAGCTTGAACCAGCTTTCTTTGCAATAATACTCAACAAAAGGGCCACAAGTTAAATATGTAAAAGAACAAAGCAAAAGGAACTAGGAGAATGGAAACTAACAATAATAGAAATTAAGCTACAAAACTTCGGATAAGGAAATATCTACAAAGTTATGTACATGTATTTTTCGTCTTCCTTTTTGTACGGCAGATGCAGAAACAACGGTAAATGGCAACTACTTACAGATGCGGCCGACTGCAGTCTCCCTTCGGTAATCTTGGTTTACCTCGTAACTAGCTGCTATGGCCACCAATTGACATAGCTTAAATAAAACCATATCACATATCACAATTGGTACACTTTTGACGGCACCGTTTTTTAATTTAAATACAATTTTATTGTTTTTACGCGAACACAAAGGTGCTCCTCACCGATTTTTTTTTGATATTAGATAAACTATCGATAACATGCAGCCGACGTAGACAGTGCCACTGTGAGTTTAACAGCGTACACAACTGTTACTGCAACTAGCCAGATTAACAACAACAACAGTTGACTTGGCAGTTCGCTTGTTCAGTTTTGTGAGTCGTTCGATTGAACATATTCCGAACGGTTCGATATAACTGTAGATGTGCTACGCTCTTTTGTTTATTTGTTTAATGTTCGTTTAACGGTAAAGTAAATAATAATAATTGATTCGAACTGACAGTTTGTAAGCGACAGGTTCACCTTTGCAGCAGCGGCAGAAACTGCCGCAGTCAAACGTCACGGCAAAAACAAACAAAGAGTTCCTAATATCACTGAACAAACACACTACGTTGCAGTTTTATATTTCACATTTTATTGCCAGCGCAACAAAATTGAATATCATTTGTTTTGTGATACGAATATTGTCGCCGGTGGTGATTCAGTTTGGACACTTGCCTCGCTTCCAGCTCGACTGACAACATATGTTTGCTTGTGTAGTGCCTGAGTGTGTGTGTGTGTGTGTATGTGTGAGTTCGTGCGCGAAAACTTGCATGTGTGCAAAAACAAAGCGCGATAAGGGCAAACGAATTCTTCAATCAAAACTTCATAGGAAACTAGCAGATAAAGAGCCTTCACTTTGCAACCGCAAGGGGCCGCTAACCGCGTATAGTTTTCTACATTATTAGTTACGCCAGCGTTACAGTCAGCGCTACCTGTTGATGAACACACTACAAATACCTGATTTGGAGTAAGGCTCGAGATCTCTTTATGCTCCTGCAAGGGTATACAAAATCTCGGCCATAAAGTAAATACATATTCATGATTAGTATTAACAGACGAGTCGTTATAGACAGGTACGTCTGTGTCACTCAGTTTTTCAGCCATATTGAAGAAACTTGTCGCTTTAGACCAGATGGGATTACTTTATCATGTTTAGGATATCTCAACCAAATAAACAAAAGCTACAATCAATGTCGTATAACTATATCGTATAGCTCCTACATATAGATTGATAGTGATATATATTTTACTTTATGATAACATTTCTGTTTCTTAAGTTATCTACAAGAAATGCCATGGGAAAGATCTAGGATTGAGATTGAAAAAACCCACTGCAAATCGGTTAATTTTGTAAGAGTATTAAATGTTCGACAACCCAAAGCTAACTGCTCCTTTTCGTACAGCTCAATATAGAAAAAGTAGCTACACGACCTGCCCCCTGGACGTGTGCATCCGCTTTTTAGAGAAGTTTGGGCTAGTCGATGAGACCGTCAGCGTCGAGAACGCGCAAAATGAGTAACAACTACAACGATATACCCATCGGGATACGCGTGCTGCAGAGCTTCTCGCGGCAATGTCCGCGATTTCATGCGCGCAAGGAGCTGTGGTAAGAGCCAATTAACCAAATGTCGAACAGCTAGTTTAATCTACTTTTGTGTCAGCTACAAGATGTCCATATTTTTGCTGACATTCCTTGCCTATGCCTGCTATCACATGTCCCGCAAGCCCATCTCTGTGGTCAAGTCCGTGCTGCATGGGAACTGCTCGAATACGCAGGCAAAGCTGCACGAGGCCGGAGATTGCGGCTATGCGCCATTTGGTGAGTTTGGGTAAACGCCATAAGCATATTCCGTGACTCACTTTACCCACTTTCTGTGAACAGATGGCTCCGACTCGAAGACGCTCTTTGGCATGCTGGACTCGGCCTTTCTGTTCTCCTACGCCATTGCCATGTTCATGTCGGGCTTTATAGCGGAGCGCGTCTCGTTGCGCTATTTTCTGTCCATGGGCATGATCATGACGGGCGTGTTCACCTATCTGTTTGGCCTGGCACGCACCTCCAATATACACAGCCTCAGCTACTTTATATTTGTGCAAATCTTTGCCGGCATATTCCAGACCACAGGCTGGCCGGGCGTCGTCACGCTGGTGGGCCGTTGGTTTGGCAAAAAGAAACGTGGCCTGATCTTTGGCATTTGGAATAGCCACACGTCCATTGGCAATATTCTGGGCACACTAATTGCGGCGCACTATGTGGAAAAGGATTGGGCGCTGTCCTTTGTTGTGCCTGGCATTATCATTGGTGCTGCGGGCTTCCTGCTCTTTCTGTTTCTGGTTGATCAGCCAGAGATCGTTGGCTGTTATCCACAGCATGTCACACAGGAGCGTCGTAACGTGGCCAATGAATCGGATGTGGACCATGATGAGGATGACGACGAGGAACAGGCGCGTCACACCGAAGCCGTAAGTATTTATTGTACTCGCTTCCAGCAATTGTTGCTTGCATTTTTGATTTTTTATTTAAATAAAATACACACTCATCTGAAATAATTCGCCGTATGCCTGCGCAGTTTTATGCCCAGTCCGTTTATGCCGTTCAACAAACCGTAAGTGCATGCATTCCACATATGTATGTCTTTTCCATGTGTCGTACGCTTCTGTGTTTGTTGCGCTTCTTCAGCTAATTCTTTATAAATGTGTATTATATGTCTGATCGGTTTTCTTCTTCTGCTCATATTGATTGCATATTTTTTTCCCTGCAGGATCAGGTTAGCTATCGCCCAGCGCCCACCGAACGCACCCCCATCTTGTCACGCCAGCCGTCTAGGGAACGCCCAGCGGGACACGGTCGTCCCATTAGCTTGGTTGATGCACTTTATATACCCGGCGTGATTGAGTTCTCGCTCTGCCTGTTCTTCACCAAGCTGGTCAGCTATACGTTCATGTACTGGCTGCCGCTCTATATACAGTCTTCCAGTGAGTCAATTCTTGAAATATCTTTTTTCTACTCATTTATTTATACATTTGGTTCGTTCAGGCACCTTGGGTCCAGAGCTGTCCGCCGATCTCTCCACGCTGTTTGATGTGGGCGGCATATTGGGTGCCATAGCCGCCGGCTATGTATCGGATCTGACGGGCATGTCGGCCACAGTGTGCACAGTGATGTTGTTCTTTGCCTCGCCCATTGTGAGTTCTATCGAAATTGAGTCTGTTTACGTATATACTTAATGTATTGCCTTATTCCAGCTGTTAATGTATCAACAGTATGGCGCATTGTCTGTAACAATTAGCGTGCTTCTGCTCATCATTGTGGGCATCTTTGTGAACGGCCCGTATGCATTAATAACGACCTCGGTCAGCGCCGAACTGGGTCAGCACAGCTCCTTGGAGAGCAATGCGAATGCCCTGGCCACGGTTACCGCTATTATAGATGGCACGGGCTCCATTGGCGCTGCAGTGGGCCCGCTGCTGGCCGGGCTCATCTCCAGCCACAGCTGGCAGAATGTCTTCTATATGCTCATCGTGGCGGACATCATTGCCATGCTGCTGCTCATGCGTCTGGTCGTCAAGGAATGCACCGCGTTGCGTCGCTCAGCGAACCGCATTCGCATCGAATAGCAGCAGGAGAATTAATTTTACTCTATCGGAATTCAATATTATCATATGTATATATTGCATTGTATTACATGCATGCACTTACACACATTTGCCTGCATCTGTGCAGGCTTATGTGTGCGTGCGTGTGCAGCTCGCATTAGCTATTTTAATATTACACTACTTCTATATGTATGCCCATTTATGTGTGCATGTTTAAGTACCGTCTGCTTGTCTATTCAAGAGCATATCACTTGTTTTTCTGAACCTATATATTAGTTTTATCTGAGTTTGTTTTTTATAGCTATTAATACTGAATGTGTAACGCACTAGACGCCCAAATCTTTACCATATTTATTATATGCATGTAAACATTGGCGGACGAGCTATACGAGTTAACAGTTTTATCTATATATATAAATATATTTTATACCGATGTGTGTGTATGTATATCAGAGTCTCCTCGTTTTAAGTGTCGAAGAAATATACATATATATATATATATAATATAATAGTTAAGGCATATTTACAATGATATGTAAATACAGTTTTCGTACACTTTTCGTACCAATAAACTAAGACAACCCTGTATACGAGAATTGTCTAACTAAAAACTATCGAACAGACTTCTTTAAGCCACTGTAATGTTAGAGAGCTCGTGTAAAGTGACGCTGTTAATATTATCATTACAAAAAGGAAAGTATGCTATAAGAGTTTTAAGGTCACATTATATAGCAAAAGTTGAACAAGAAAAGTCTGTAAGTTGTGGCTGGAAACAAAAGTTAAGTTGACACGGTAAAATAACAGCCCATTAGCATATGCTAATCTAGCGGATAACAGACCACTTGTAGTTAAAATGAGTATATGTTAGCTTGGTTATGTTAAAAATTCTATGTATTTTATTACTTTTAATCTCTATATGTTGACTTTTTAGCCTCAGTAGCGAAAAAAGAAACCCATCTAAGAGAAATTTCACTTTACTACGCTTAAAATTAGCCTCATGATTGCGCTTAAATAAGATACAGTCTGGATAGACCTAAGCTAAAACTAGATTCTACCTATAAATGGCGCTAAAATGGCGACGATCTCAAAGCTTACAACTTATCACAACATTGAAATGATAAACAAATCATACAACCTTAATATCAGCGTGTTCTACAGACGCTGCACACAGCGACGCACAATCTTGGCCTTATGTTGGCACACCAGACGGAGTAGAAAGATGATGAGCAGCAGGCTAACGCCATAGCCGACGACGAGAACGGCGCGTTTGCGTCGCCGCCAACGTTGATAGTCGTTCCAGGACACGTAGCGATTGCGAAATTGTGGGGGCAGTTCAAATTTGCTGCGTCGCGGGAAGAAAGATAAATAGAAATCCTCGAGCAGATGACGCACTAGCTCATTATCCTCGCCACGCTTAACATCCAGATTGTCGTTGATGCAATTGAACTTGCGCGGATTGCGACGCATGCGGTCGAGCGCCTCAACGACTTCCGTCAGATTTGAGGTGAGCATCATAAAGTTGCTGTGCGAGGCGCGTTTTGGACTCACATGGTAGCGATACCTGGAGCGCACGCCAAAGTTGGCGTTTAAAGCCTCCGCCAGCAGTGGACAGCGGTAGACTAGCTCGCGAGTAATTGTGGGCTGGGCAAAGGACGAGAGAGAAAATCATAAGTACGAATGAAATAGAGACCGGATTAGATAATGGCTTACCAAATTGGAGTCCTCGTAGCGCTCATAGACCAGCGTCGAGTGAACTATTTTATTATCTGTTGCAGCATCATGGCTCAAGTTATGCGTGCAGTTCTGGACCACCTCCTCGAAGTAGCGCATGGCTGACCAGTCCAGCGGCGGTGGATAGATGCGCGTCAGGCACGTGCGCACCTCGCGATCCGACCATGTGCCCGAGCCATCCGTATCGAACTCATCAAAAATCTGCTCCACGCCCAGCGACTTTGTCTCGCTCATGAGAAACGAATAGTAGGCGAAGGCGAACTGTAAATCTGTGGCTGCACGGAAACGCTGATGGGCCGTCTGGCGCACCTGCTGCTCGAAGCGCTGCTGCATAGCGTCGACAATGTCGCGCTCTATGAGAAAACCCACATGGGCCAGGACATGACGCGCCTTGAAGCCGTAGACGCGATTCAGCAGCATATTGGTGGCTATCAGCGAGTGCGAGTAAATGTCTGTGGAGGATTTGAAGTCCTCCTTGTGCAGCAGATTGCTGCGGCTGGTGCTGCTGCTCATCGCGCTGCTGGCGTCCAGCTCGGGATTTAGAGATTTCAGTTTGTCTTTGTTGAAGCGCTCCACAATGCGACGCAACTCCTGCAGCGTAGACACATTTCTATTCCGCATCAACTCCTTAAAATTAGTGGAGCTGCGTTTAAATAGCTGTTGCAGACCCATATTGGGAAACTTATGAACGCCCACATGTCCCACAGGCACGGGCACATCGGCCACGTTATGCAGGTCCTCTTGCAACTGCCCGGCAATCCCAGTGCCACTGTCAGTGCAGTCGCCACCATCAAATTGGCAGGCATCAATGTTACAGTGGCGATCACAGGCGCCATCGCCTATATAAGTCCAGGGACAGTCCAAGGCGCAATCGGGCACCATCCATGCCTGGTAAACGCGCACCCCCTCTGCCTCCGTATACAAATCCTCCGGATAGAGCGGTGCACCCAGAAAGATATCATCGTTTAGATACAAAAATCGTTTGGAAAGCTTTGGTATGCGATGGAGGAATGTCTCAATGGCTGCACTGGAAAACGTTGGCAGTTGTTCTGGATCCGGTGCGAGCACCTCGTGCGGCACCACAGTCACACGTTCATAGTTGAGATCCAGCCAACTGGGTATCTGGCCATTGGTCACAATGTAAACGTGTCGTATCCAGCTGGCGTGCTTCTCCAGCGAACGCAATGAGTATTTTAGCTCATTCTTGTCGTCGAAGCGCGACGGATCGTAGCTGGCATCATAGCGTCTAATGGACTCAATAAAATCCGGATCCGAACCGTTAACCCAGGTGTAGACGGCATCAATGGGCGCACAATGCGTTTCGCCATAGTAGCTACTATCGTGACCATTCGACGTTCCCAGCAACTGCTGTCCAGCCAGCCAGAGTATTACGCATAGTGCTCCAAATACGGCTAAGTAAACCAACTTGCGGCGCGATTGCATTTTAAGCCGATAGATTTTCTCAATTGTACGCCGCATCCGCCGATGCCAGCGGCGTCGCAGACGCATTTCGTATACCTATATAGCTCTACATCGCCACACTTTTCGTGCACTTTAATTAATAAATTCTGTTAATTCCGCACGTAATTTACCTTATAAGAGAAAAAAAAGATTGATTTTAAGTCGGTTTTTAATTAGTGATGGTCGTCTAAGAGTGATATGTGTGTGCATGATAAATGCAAGTATAACGATAGTATCGATAGGAAGTATCGCAAAGACGGCATAAGTATTGCGGCTTAATAAATAGAATATTAACTATTTAATACACTTATTTTTACATATCTCATACTTTTTTTGAGTTTTCTTCATACTTGTCATAGAGGCACAAACCTTTTAAGTTGCATTAAAAAATTGCGCCAAGCATACATCCGTTGTTTCGATAGTTTTCTTAACCAGTGCTGCTTAATGCCGTTTCGCAGTGCGCTCCCGAACCACAAATTCCACCATCGTGTGACTGCCATGCTTATCGACTACAATATCGACTTAATCCACTCGCTATCGGTCAGCTGGTCGACCATCACATGACCTGTCATATGAAAACTTTTTCACTCTGACAGCGCAAATCGACATCGGGCCGTGCAAATCGAAAAACCTTTTCACATTTTTCGTTTGTAGTTTTTCTTAATTTTTGGTTGGTTTATTTTAATAGTTGTGTTTAATTGTGTTCATTTGTTGATTTTACTTTTGTTTCGTTTTATTTTGGTGTATGTAGTGCGTCCACGTAGCGAGCTAGGCAACAAAATGTTGTGGAAGTCGCTGATTGCGTTGTGCGTCATTGGAGTCGCCTTGGCCGAGCAGACACCCGTTTTTCTCTGGGGTGCCAACAGGTGGGTTCTTAGTAAAACGTTCAAATCGTAGCCACATATTACTTATATTACTTGACAGCCCCACGAAGCCATCGCTGCGCACAGTCCCTCAGGCAGAGTTTGGAGAGCAGCTGGCGACATTGCTAAAAGATCACATGATTGTGGCCTTCGAGGAAAATGGCGTAAGTCCAGTGCAAATAACAGTGTGAAAACTGTTCTTCAGCAGAATGTCTGTCTTTTTTATCTAGCTGAGCAACAAGGATTTCTTGTGCTCCAATGGCGAGGCGCAGTCATGTTACGCTCAGCTACAGAGCGTAAGCCCCAAAACCTACTACACCAGCGTAGAGAATCCCTCCGAAGCACTGCGGGCTGCAGCTGAAAAGCGCGAGCACAACAGCATCGATGCCAATGGTCAGCTGGTGAATCCCGTCAAGTGTGAGGTGGGCACAGCCCATTTTCTTTCCTTTGAGGATGTGTCCGAGACACGTGTCGCTACGCTCCAATCACATGGTACGCCCTGGCAGCCACTAACTCATGCATATAAGCGGGCTAATTGATATTTACCTTCTTGAACAGACTCCGCGATTGCCGCTATCAGCAAGCAATTGGACGGCTGCAAGGTGGCTTATCTGTATTTGGCTGCGCCAGCTACGGCACCCACTGTGCAGCGCCGCGTGCGTCGTTGGACTGCAGCGGAGAGGAGTGGCTACAGATTCTACAGTGGCAATCAGTTTGCAATCAGCTTTACAGATGTTCAGTACATTAACGAAGGAGCTACTACGACTACCACGCCCTTAAAGGTTAGTGGTATAACCGTAAACAATGTCACCGCCAACATCAAGTTCTCCGTGGCACTGCACACCGATGCTGGGAAGGACATCACCTTTGATATCAGCTATAGCAGCGTCGATGGTTATTATACAGTAAGCAATGCGGCATATGGCGGCGAGACATTCCGCACGCCTGGTGTCAATGCGCCCACTACGTTCTCCTATGCCTGCGGCAATGCGACCTGGTATACGCCAGCCAAGGAGAACAAAGCCAATGCGCTGGCGTGGAGCTCACTGCAGCTGCAGGCGCCATTCAGTCAATCAGCCAAGGATAATTTTGCGTTCGGTGATTCCTGGGACTGCGTTGGCTTCGTTACGCCTGGCATATTGATGGGTCTGTTTGTGATTGTCATTCTGCTGGTGATTGTCTTTTTGGGCCTGTGCTGGATGATGGATATCAAGACAATGGATCGCTTCGATGATCCCAAGGGCAAAACTATTACGATTAATGCTAGCGCCGAATAAGCAGCCAGCCGTCTGCATTAATTCATTGTTTTTCTGATTGTTTTTCAGCATCGTTTAATGTGCATAGATATATATCCGTATATTCAATATTCATTCCTACCTTCAGCTACGCATAATATGTAATCAATTCAATACTTAAACAATTACATTATACAAAAAAAAAAACACACAAAAAAATGTCAGGAAATTAGCGGCCACAATTTATAAGTCATACTCTGTACAATTTACGCCCACAAAGGTGCGCTGCGGCGGATGCGGTCACGTTCAGCATCAGAAAACCACACGTGTGCCCAACGCCCGCTACACACCTTTGCAGCCGTAAATTATTAAGGAATTATTTTATTATTTTGCTTGCAACGACTGCTGCTGCTGCTGCATTTCATAAACTTTAATGCAGTATTTGGTTTAAGTTTGTATATCAAAGAAATGCATAAAACTACTTATAAAGACGCACATTATGCTCTGTGTGTGTATGCGTGTGTATATATGTGTGTGTCCTTACGCAATTGTTTAATTCTAAGCGTTCTTTTTATGTTATGCCCTTGTATGATAATATATCATTTATGTACCTCCCCCTGTGCGATATGTATGCGAAACACAAGCTCCTAAATAAAGTTTTTCAATTGTTTTACAAACATACCAACAAAAAAAAAAAACAACAATAATCCGTATCCGTATCGACTTAATTGAATTCCCACAGTTGCCAGCGTAGCCCAAAAACTCATAAATACAAATCAAAAGTTTTATGAAAATTTATTGACTGTGCCTCTTGCCACATAGCTGCTGCTGCTGCTGCGGCGGCTGGCTGCCGCCTCTCAACTTCACATAAGGATTAAAGATATATATGGCATGGTTTGTATATGAATGTGCATGTGTGTGTGTGTGTGCGTTCGTGTTGATTGTTTGCAAAAACTTTCAAGTCTAAAATAGTTTTACGTAACACTTTACGCTTGGCTTCTCAGCTCTCTGCAGAGCATTTCGGCTTGTGACCTGCAGCTTTCATTAAGTTGTTTAGCCGGATGCTCAAAAAGCATTGTTTATGACATTTTAATCTCTTGTTTATCCGCTTGACTTTATCCCACTGTCAGCAAACTGACCAACCACCCACCCTCCCACTGCCCAAGGTTTCAGTTGCTTTGGCAGAAGTAACAATATGTTTGTTTTCAGGCATTGCTCGACTGCTAGATGACCTGTTCGTGTACATTTTTCTTATATTATATTTGTATACTAGCGGGCATTATTTATCCCAATATATAAAACTGTTCGTCCTGGCTTACTGAATGACTCCTTAAGCTGTATGATCTTTTTGGGACAAAGAGAGCACTTAGATGGAGTTTTGGAAAAATCGACGCGAAAGTGGGTTAAAACGGTGATCAAAGTTTATATATGACATAGTTAAATAATTGTGCTTTAAAAATGTGACCTCATGAGTCTGCATGGCTTCGGTGTCTGAGCGTTGAACTTACAAGCGGGAAATCACTAGTTCAACTCAAGGGGCAATTGTCAATTAGTTATTACATACAATAAAAAAAGATATAGTAATAAATTAAAAAGCAACAACGAATTTGTTTTTCTAATTCAAAAATATTTTTTGTATAATTAATTGAATAGGAACTTGATTTTTGTTGGTGCCAAGTCAGGTGAGAAAATTTAGGTAATGGGAGATAATTACGGGCAACGTTTACCCGGGCAACAGGAGCAATGGGGTACATTGAATGTGTAAGGAACGGACCATGTGAAAAGCCTGGAAAAGATCTTTGTTTTTATGTACAAAAATTTCGGTGGTTGGGAGTGGAGTGAATGTGTTGACAAGTGATGGCTGTTAGAGCGGCTTTGTATATTCTGAAGTTGACGTGAATTACACAAACAATTTCGGTACCAAACCAGCGACGCGATGATGTGACATATAAAACAGCGAAAATGGGGCCGTTGTTTGTTTTCATTATGATTATTGATTGGCCAAACCGAGCAGGAGAGATGAGGCGCGGGAGGGTTGGATTGATATGTGGTGATAGTTTTATTGGCACGCGGACAACGTCGCGACAGGAAATCCTCGTTTATATACATATATGCATTTATTTCTGTACCAAACAGGACTTTTTGCTCAAATGTTACATACATCGAGAAGTTAATGTTTTATGGTAAGAGACCTGTTACGTTAGCAAGTTAAGCCGCGGAATTTGAACCTTAATGTTAATGAAAATAAGAGCATAAAGAGCCACGCTTAAAGAGTTTATTAAAAGCAACAAAGTTAGTGTGTGTTGCCCCATATACTTATAAAGTTGCCCAAAACTTTGCATACCCTACATCTGCTGGGTATCGCAAACTTAGCAGCTGGCGCTAAAAAGTATGCTACAGCAGCCGTCAGCTCACTCGGTGCGTCCGGCTGTCCGCGCTGGCAAAAGAGCCCAGTTGACTGCACCAAGTGCCGGGCGCTTAACTTTTTTGTTGATGTGTTTCCTTGTTATTTTTTTTTTGGTATTAAGGGTATAATGTAAATGTTAAGGGTATAATGTTTTTGCGCAAATGCTTGGCACAAGCAGACGAAAGCAAATCCAACCGCAAAGCATATAAATTCCTGTTTGAGGGCGACGAACCGAATCGATCTAATCACATATACTCTTATATTGGATGCTGAACGAATTTACGATTTGTTTGGGTCATCTACTCGCATTTCCATATCGATAGATATCGATTTTAAAACAAGTCTTTTTAGGCATAACTGGAAGAATAAAATACCTGGACATGCCAAATTCGAGATGTAGGATTTCGTTAAGTATATAAATTCAGTTTTCGAATATCTGCTGATAAAGCTCATGTTAAAAGAAAGCCATGTGCTTAAGTATGTACACTTTGTTATATGATATTAAAGCTCTGAGCGGACATTAAGCATCGAGTAGGGCTGAGAGATAAAGAAGAAGCACAGCTGCTGCATAAAGGAGTTTGAAGCTTATGAGGGTATCTTCTAGTCGTTCACTTCCAACCAGAACACTCTTACTGGGTTTGTTTTTAGTTGCATTTGAAACAGGTCAGTGCGTCATGCACACCAAATGAGCATATGAACCGCTCCGGCCCGATGCCCTGCCTGGCTTATTTGGCTGGCAGCACCAAAAAACTTGCGATGCCAAACAAAGTGCAACGCCTCGCTGCACCCCTTCAGACAATCTCCAGTGCCCACGGCGCCCACGGCGCCCATGACGCCGCCCACTCTTTAGCTGGCGGGCCTGCTTGGGCTATGAAAAACAGTAATTATGCATAAGTCAACACGCGGCGCAGCGTGGCGGCATTCGTAATGAACTCCACTCAAAGCCAAACGAGCACTTTGGCCCTGCAGCAGCACCTACCCCATACTCATCCCCCCATCCCCCCATCACCCATTTACCCCATTTCAGTTTCTTCATTACGCGCCAAGTTCAAAAGTTTTTGGCTGCCGAAAATGTCACCAACTGCAGAGTCGCCAGCTAACAAAAAAAAAAAAAAAAACACAAAAATAAAACTTGTCTCAAAGTTTTTGGGACTAGCCAAAGTGAAGCCAAGTGGCAACTATGTAGGAGTTGTTATATATATGTATATACATATATACACTTGTACATATATATATATAGTGGTATATATGTATGTATGTTTGACTGCGACGCATAAGTAACCAGGGCAACAGTTGAAGCTGAAAGCCGCAAATGCCCTGCTGTGCCGCAGCCGCAGCCCGTAATAAACACAGCGTGCCAACAAATTGCAACATTAGAAGTGAGCACTTGGATGTGAGAGGGGTGTTGGGGGGGGGGGGGGGGGGTGGTTGCAGGGCGAAATGCAGCACATTGAAGCAGTGTAGTCAACAGTTTGGAACATGTGTTTTATTCGGCTTGGCGCTTAATGCACCTAAATGCAGTTAGCAAAGTTTTTGCGAGCTGCAAATTGTCATTAAGTTGACCACATGGCCAAGTTCCAGGAGTCAAGGGGTGTCGCGGAAGGGAGGGGTGGGGGGGGGCTTACTGGTTGGCACAGTCAAATCATTAGCGCTGCCAAAGCCGAAGTCAAACAATGAAAAGCGCCAGCAGGCAGCATCAGTTAATGATGGCATTTGTGTGCAGCCAGAAACCTAACTAGTCTCCGCTCTTTTTCTCCTACCACCCCCCGCCTGCACTCTCTCCTTGGCCTAAGCCGGTTGCCTGGCACTGTAAGCCTCATTGCACCGCCGGCTGAGCTGCTTATCTGAGCTAAGTGGTTGCGGCCTGGTTGCGGGCCATGTTTAACTAATATACACACACACACACACAAACACACACAGCGCGAGGCAAATGGGCGTGGCCTAATGAAGTCATTTGTGAACTAGACCTGGCCTCAATGAAGTGCTTTCGAGTGTGAGCTAGCGTTTAACCCTTCAGCTTTTGTAATTTTTGCTGATGCCCTATCAGATTTCGGAATGAGCTCCCTGCAGACCAAAGCCAAACTAACCAAAAAGGCCATCTAAAATCCAAGCGGTATGCACATTGGTCAGCTCAGGCGGACAGAAATTAATTAGTTGTCATTTTTAACAATTGAGCGTGACAAGAGGATATTGTGCCCGGGCCCGGTTACGGCTCCCAGCTACTGTCGCCTAGCGCCTGGCACATGGCTGCCCGTCTGCCCTGGCAGTTGGGCACTGACAAATGATGTTGGCGCTGTGTGACGTGTGACAGATAAGTGCCGAAAAAGGTTTACAACTTTTGCCAAATGCCATTTGTTATTGATGTCGGCTATCCGTCCCGCCATGCCGCCGCCTACCCGCAGCTAAATGTGTACAAATGAAAGTTGTGTCGAAAGTTTTCAACTACCCGGCAATTAGGCACATTGCGTATACGACACCTCGGGCCAGGCTCTCTAATGACACGCCACGAGATAACGTGTGGCAGCCACAAATCAGCCAACTGTCTTCGCAACAGCGCGTTGCATGCAACATTTCATTTCCATTCCAGTCGCAGTGCTTCACATTTATTTGAACCCTCTTACTCTGTCTTCTCTCATTTTTAACACCTTCTAAATACTTTATTTTACCCGTCTTTGTTTGTAGCTTCTAATTTTAGACATCACTTTTCCACCGGTTAAAAAGCAAAAAGTTGCAATCAAAGTTTTCGGCTCATATAATTCCCATGGATGGTATTTCTTATCTTAAAATGAAGTGCTTGGTAAATGGGTTTCAAACTAAAAATTAAACTAAGCCCGGAAGAGCCTAACTTTCGTAAAGGTGTGA